ATACAATCATGGCAGTACGCCCAATCTTGTAAAAATCTTGATTTTTGTTGTACGTTCTAAATCCTTTTTGTTATTGACCCATATTTGATATGAGCATAGCTAGTATAAACTCAAATGCGACTTTGGTAGTATACATCACTATTTACTCAATTATACATAACAACTATTCGTAGGGAGTCTATCTGTTACTCAATTATACACCACAACTATTCGTAACACCGCAAGTGAGCTATATTTTCGGTTAAATGAATTATCGTTATTATTTAAATTTACACGACAAATATATGAATAGATAAAAAAATATTGTTATAAAACTTTTACTTACCATATACGATATAAAACCATCAAAGATCATGCTACGCAAAAAAGGAAGGTTGATAACTCCAAAATTTTATCGTTACTTGATTTAATTCGTTAAATAAAAAAAAGTTTAACACATAATTTTACTTATAACTAAGTATATACTCTATATAATTTTTTAAGTTTTATAAAAGTGCAAACATGTTTTAAACATTTTTGAACTTGGACATTGGGTATTCAAAAAATATCTTGGATATCAAAATGTACAACATTGCCTAGAGGAAGGGCATTCAAAGAATTTTCTCAAATTATTTTTGCCATAAAAGATTGTAAACCATTTATATGTTTAAGTTTGAAATATCAATTTATTAAAAAAATATATCATAAAATTTACAAAGTACATATCATAAATACCATCGACTTTTATTATTCCTTCCGCTTAAAGAAAATAAAAACATAAAGATGTAAATTGTTCATTTTTTTAGTACCTTCGATAAAATGGATTTGATTCTTACAACGGTTGTGAATAACTGAGAAAGTTGGGATTATATTCAAGAGGTATATCATAATTATGTGGTTCTGGTATATAAAAGCTTAGACCATAATCATAAAGCGTTGGTGGTAAGTAATAGTTATTCGAAGGATAAAATTGTAATTCGTTTACATTATAGGGTAAAAAATCGACAAAGCTAGTTTCTTGGATTGTGTTGATATCATTATTTGAATCCAAAATCGATAAATTTTGCGTGTTTTGGGTGATTTCTGTGTCGAACTGAGATAAATTGTGCGCATTTTCAAC